AAGATTTTCTCTCCAAGACAAAATGCGATTATGATTAACATGGAAAATACATATTATAGAGGAGGTCAGGGTAAGAAAAGGCTAATTCGACATTTAGAGGATAAGAAGGAACAGAACATGGAGGCTTTTGACGCCGATTATATAGTTCAGGCGTATAGATTCAAAACTTTTCTTTCTTAGGACACACAAGAGTTGGAATATAATGCCATTACACCAAATGTCCTAAATAAGCACATCAAAAACCACCTTTGCACGTGCTGTTTGTATGGAGACTGACCACTTTCCCATCCATTTATCTATAAGCTGAATCATCTGAATTTGTCAATGAGAAGGTAACTGAATTATCACTGGCAGTTGCATTGGTTTGTTAAGGGTCTAGTCCAGCGATTTTCAGCCAGTGTGCTGCAAGAGTTTTTCTTTTTATTTGTTTTTATTTTTTAAAATATGTTTCTATTGATTTTAGAGAGAGGGAGGGAAAGCGGGGGAGAGAGAAACATTGATATGAAAGAGAAACAGAGATGCTCTTTTGGGAATTGAGCCTACAACTTAGGGCATGAGCCCTGACTGAGAGTCAGCCCAGCAACCTTTAGGTGCATGGACAGCGCTGAACCAACTGAGCCACACTGGCCAGGGTGCAAGAATTTTGTAAACATGAAATACCTATTTAGTCAGGGACACTGACCTCTTTTCCGTTAGATTGTCAAATAAAAAAAATGACAACAGCCAACACAACAATAGCTGCTCTGTGTGAATGCAACAAAATTATACCTGTTTTTTTATGTCAAAATTTCTGTGTACCGTAGAATTTTAGAAATTAGCTTATGTGTGCCATGAGATGAAAAAGGTTGAAAATCGCTGGTCTAGTCTAACACTACTAAACATCACTTCATGGGCATTCTGGCAAATTGAATTGTGAAGTATCAAAATTTATTTTAAACGGGCAAATTTTGCAAGACTATACCAAGATACGTTTTTCTATAAAATGAATCCTTCTGAAGGTTCTTTGTAATGTTCAGGAAGTTGTTGGCAGCTTGAATCAAGACTTAAAAAAATAGTCATATTCTTTGTCCCTATCTTATCGCTAATGAAGATTTATTCTAAGAAAGCAACCAAATATGGGATAAAAGATTTAACGAGTAGGATGTTCATTACAACCTAATTATATAGGGAAAACTAGAAACAATGCAAATGTCTAAGATTAGTGGGTAAATATATCACATCCACATATTGTTAGCCTGTGTTGTCATTAAAAAACATGTGCATTTCTAAAAGTATATATAATTCCATGGAAAATTCTATTCAAAGTCACATTTACTAAGTTATCCAAGGTTTTTTTTAAATACACATCTACAAATAGAAAATAAGACTGGAACATGATATCCACTATTAATATTTTGATATACTTCTCCTTGGTAGAATTATGTTTCTTACTCATTTTTAAATTTTTTCCTCAAATTTTCTGATGACCTAATGAATGATTTATTTAATTTTAAAAAGTTATTTGCCAATTTTCTTGCTCACCTGCCTTTCCTTTGTACCTATCTTGAGAGCCATCTAAGAAAGAGTAGTTGTAAAGATGACAGGAAATAAAAGGGAAGCCGAGCCTTTTTTCACCTCCCCCCATTATTACTTTGAATTTCGCAGATATCAGATAAGTAAATATCTTGACCCAAGGTCACCAAAAACAAACAAACAAAAATAGCATTTACTGGAGCCTTGCGACTTGCTGAATTTAAACTGTGGCTGGAGTATTGTTTCACATTTCAGGAATCATGAAGTTTCCAGTGAAGGTCACAGCCAGTGTCAGCCTTTTAAAAGCAATAGGGAGAAAATAGTCCAGTTAGCTCCTTGCAGATTCTGTCTTCTGAAGGGGAAGGAATAAAATACAGAAGCAGACTCGTGACTGACCTGCTGTGCAATCACAGAGGAAGGCTCGGGCCTTGCAAGATGTTTACAGTGTTGAACCAGAGCGATCAAAGAGCTGATCCAACTGGTCATCACATAGCCACCGCCTTTTGAAGCGTGTTTCATGGTACTGTGCTGAGCAGAAAGGAGCATTGCAAGAAAAACACACAAAAACTGGGAGGTGCGAATTCAAAAGACTCAAATCCAAGTTTAGAAAGGGCTGCATTAACAAAGGAGAAATTTAAAGGCGCTCTGAGGGATTTGTGTGAGACTGGAATTCAGCTGGCTCAGAAATCCTTAGTGGGTTTCCAGCTAAGTCCCCAGAGCTGTAGGGACTTAGAAGCCCACTTTCTCCCTGCCAGGAACTTCAGGCAGTGCTTGCTTTCTGAGCCAGGTGAACAACTTAACCTTTCTGAGTCACAGACTGTTACCTCTAAAATGGGTGTAGTAATAACTCCTAGGGCAGCTGTGAGCAGGTAAATAATTGAGAACAATCCGTGCAATGTTTCAGAAATAGAAGGAATATGAGTTCCCTTAATAATCACTATTTTTATATTAATGCACCTTTGTTCTCTCAAAAACGTAAATGCTTTGAAAGTAAGAGGACATCTTTCCTTAATGGTAGCTCTCCTTGGAGGAAATACAGCTTATTCAAGCTTTAAGATCTTGTAAAGCTAATAGCTATTTAATTATGACTGACAGTCTGCTATAAAACGCAGGAGGTTTTGTGGTACAGAAGTTTCACTCTACTGATGATGAATAGTAAGCCCAGAATCAAGGCTATTGTTGAAATTTTTCTCCCCATCTTGCCACATTTTTAACCACGTGTGTGTGTGTGCGTATGTGTGCGGTTAAGGCATGCATGAGTCGGTATATTTAATTTTCCTATCTTTGCTAGCTTCTATGGAGAGGCTAATGCTGAAAGAATAATGCTAAAAACCCAATGATTTTCTGGGAAAATGGGTATTCCTCAAATGTTCACATATGTCCCATTTCTCTTCTTCCCCTAGGATCATGACATAGGTGGGACTTAACTTGCCAAAGATATTATGGGGAGAATTTCATTTTTGAGACCTTAACTTACTGTTTCTGATCTCCTACTATTGGGGCCAAATCCTTTGAATTTCCTCTGGTCTCCTTAACTCACCTGACACCCAATCCTACACCCAAGCCACCTACATCTGGCTGTTTTTCTCTTTTCAGAAAAGATAAATTACTTAAGTATTGTTGAATAGGTTAAAACACTCTTCTGATCCATTCAGGTTCCACCCGCCAAACACCAGCTCCCATCACAAGTCAATCAAGAGTCCCTCAGGAAAGGCAGGGTGAGAATCAGTCTCCTACCGACTGACTACTTCTAGGCATTCGCAAGCCAAACCAGCCCCAGGAATGCTTCTCAGTTTGACTGTAAAAGCTGCGCAGAAAAGAAATATTTTGACAAAATCACCTGTTTCAATAAGGAAGCTTAAACAACCACCAACCATCTACTCACAAGCACACACACACACAATGTATATATTTCACATATATATGTATATGCATATGTATATGTATATATATATTTTTTTTCTCGCTCCCTGGAAGAACACCCTTTAGTCCTAGTCTCACTTAGGCAGCTTTTATACAAAGTAGAAAGTGTTTATGTCACTGTATTGCAAGGGAGATGGGTGAGAGCCAGCCCCAGCGGGGCCCTGCAGCCACCACCACGGAGGGTTCTGTGGCTCCAGGTTCCAGTGCCTCTAGCCTTCTCACCAAAGGTGGACTTTCGTCTTTCTTCTTACAGGCTAAGATATGAACCTAGAGTGCCCCCAGCATGTTTTCCTCATTAATATTCAATGGTTCAGGGGTACTGGCCCAAGAATCATAAGTTAAGAACCTTTTTTGTGTGTGTGTGTGCTTGCAGAACTGATAACGACCTAATAAATACAATTAGGAAGGAGAAACCACTAAAAAAGAATTAAAAACAACAACAACAGAATGGCAGAAAGGACACAAATGGTTACAGGGAAAATTTCATAGCAAAAACACATGACTAAGTGAAAAAAATAATTTTTACCAACTCTGTGAAAAGGAAATTGTGAGCAAAGTTTTGAGAGAAAACTCCCATTGTGAACTTTAGTGATTAAAAAGAAAAAAAAGATGTTGAGTTACCTTAGGTATGTGTGACAGTCCAAAGATGTTGCTGGTTTATTTAAAAGATGCATTTATTTATAGTGTGTCAGCTTAGCCTGTGATTCCACCCTCTTCTTCTTGGTTATTTATTTACGTTTGAAATCACATAGCCAATCAGTGTGGGCTTTACTATCCTAGTAAAGATTTTTTTCATAGTCATTAAGGTCTTGATACTATTACTCTTCCTCTTTGAACCTAAAACACGTAACCAGGAAAGCCGATTTGTATTCTGTTTAGAAATGAGTATTTAATTAGTGCCACTTCTGTAAATACACCATGTTTAAAGTGATTACATTTGTTACACATCACCTTCAACCATACCTTTAGCAACTAAATCACTCTTCCTCATCAGCTATCATTTATGTCTTATTAGCATCAAGAGGAAATGAGATGAAGTCACACCCATTTAATTTTATCTCAGGACTCTGGAGTTTAGTTACTGTATTAATGGTGCTTATTTGTAATGTGGGGCATTTTTTTAAAAAAAAAAAAACACAAGTAATTAAGTAATGTTGTCTACAGTGGTCCGAACACATCCTTACAGTCTTCCACGCGTCATATACAGACTTCAACTACGAGCTCTGGTAGAACTGCACTAAAAGTAGGGTCACGTTTTATTATTGTATTGTTTTCTTTTTTAAAAACAAAAAGGTTTTTATTCTTTTTTTTTCTAGAGGGAGAGAGGGATAGAAAGATAGAAACATCGGTGAGAGAGAAACATCATCGGTCAGCTGCCTCCTGCTCGCCCCCCCACTGGGAACCGAGCCTGCGACCTGGCCTGTGCCTTGACCAGGACCTCTCGGTTCTTGGGTTGACAAGCACTGAGCCACACTGGCTGGGCTCTTGTATTGTTTCTTGAAGGCATGTACCAGCTAAGATATTTATTCTCTTTTCTCTTTTTTCCCCCTAAATATTTCTGGCAGGTACAAAGCACAAAACCATGCTAGAAGCCCGGAATGGAAGCGGGACTATCAAAGCCTTTCCTAGAGCAGGGGTGAAAGGCAAAGGACCAGTTAATAAGGGAAATACCGGCCTGCAAAACAAAACATTTCACTGTGAAATATGCGATGTGCATGTCAACTCGGAAACACAACTTAAACAGGTAGGCCGCACATGTTCTAGAAATGAAAACAGGTAAGGGACATCGCCATGAGCAGGATGTCTGTGCTTTCATTACTCCCTTTCTCTTTGTTGTTTTCTCCCATCTATCCCTCCCTCCCTTTATTTATCCATCCATCCATCCGTCCGTCCGTCTGTCCATCCATCCGTCCATCTNTGTTGTTTTCTCCCATCTATCCCTCCCTCCCTTTATTTATCCATCCATCCGTCCGTCCGTCTGTCCATCCATCCGTCCATCTTCTTCTATTCACCGTCCTTATTTATGTATGCTTATCTTATTTAGTTGCTGAGGAAATACTAAAATGTAGTGGCTTCTCAACCTTTTAAAAACTATCTGAAGTGAGTTTGCACTATTTTTATATATGAAGAGTGGCAGGAAAAATATATTAGATCTTTTTTTCTATCAGGTTTCCCAGTCAAAAGTGTGGATTTTATTTAAAGTTCACATTACAATGTTCCATTTTTACTCGTTTAGATATTTACATGCTAGCTTTATCCTATGCTATTCTTTGATTTTATGTACTTAATTACATGGTATTGTACTATATTTCTAAACCATGTAGTCACCTGCTAAAGAGATGGCTGATCCTGTTGCATTTACTTTTACTCTAAGTAGCCTGACAAAGAGATCAGCTATGTTCCCAGTTGAAGGCCCAGCCCTCATACTGTGTTGTGTTTTATATGCATATGTACACTATTCTGCTGATTTATGCACCTTAGTTTGTTTATCTTTAGAATTTAAGGGGCTGACACTTGGCTGTACAAATATGAGGATAAATATTAGTATGGAGATAAATTCATGCCTGCCTGGGAATCTTTGTTTATCTGCATATAAACTTCTTTCAGACGTTCCTTTCCTTTATAAACTTCAAGAAAAGGAGATCTATACAATGATAAGAAGAAAAGCTGGGAAAAAGCAGATCTTTTTTGTTAAAATATATACTAAAATGGATAGCATAAAAATATATATCCTTAAGGTATCAGAATCTAAGAACAAACATGCATGCACTTTTTATATTTATCTTTCTGAAACTTGCACAAAATAATTAGTATCCTTCTCCAGGTTAAAGCAATATTTGTGAGGATTTTTTTTGGTATGATTTTTTTCAAGCTGTCATTTTTAATTGCTTTTACTAGCACATTAGCAGTAGAAGGCACAAAGACAGAGCTGCTGGGAAGCCCCCGAAACCTAAATACAGTCCTTACAACAAACTACAGAAGGCAGCACATCCGCTGGGGGTGAGTGTCCTCTTTGCTTCCCACAGTCTGCTGTGGGATTTTTTTGTCACTTACTAAATGAAATAAATGGGAGGTACCTCAGTAATGACAAACAGTTGATTTGAGAGCCCACCCCCTATGTCACCATCAGAATTATTGGTTTCATGAGTTATTGGGGTGTTTTGCCACCTTTAGCCCCAGCCCAGGATCTTATCTTCCTGAGTTGGGCTCAGGTTTATGACAGAGTGTGGGGAAGGGAGAAAAGCCAAACTCTTCTGAGTCAGGTAAGTAATCACTTAAAATCTGCTCTTGATGTTCGTGCATACTTTTAAGGAAAGAGTGTCAGTGAAAATCAAGTTTCTTGTACCTCCTTTTTAGCACCTTCCAGAGTCAAAGCATTGGTATTATTGATACCCTCAAAAATACTTTGGATTTTGAGTGATACAGTCTCACAGGCATGGCTTATTTCATGTAATTATTCACCCAAGGTCACTACATACTGCCTGGGAAATGCTCACTTCCCATGACTCTAAATGTGCCTTTTAGATTAGTAAACATACTAAGTACTGATATACTGATCTGGAATTTTTGTAAGGTTTTAGGGGAGATCTGTGACTCTCCTGACATCTTGGGCTAATATTTATGAGCATAAACTCTTTTTTTTCTGGTTAATTGACCATACCTCTCATCAGAGAGACACAGGCCACAATGAAAAGTTAAGAACAACTGATAGACAATATGTACTGAATTGTGCATTTTGAAATCTCTTTTCTTCAAAATAGACCTTATTAATACAGTTGACCCTTGAACAACACGGGCTTGAACCTCAAGATAAATATCTTCCTGAGGAAATACCTGTATCAAGAAAAGTAAAATAAGGTTGCTGAGTACTTTTTAAAGGACTTTTCAAAACCCTGGGTCAGCCACTTTCAGGGGTCTTCCAACTCTTCCAAAGGAAAGGCTTTCTACACTTTCCATTACCTTTATTGTCAGTTCACAATTGGGAATCTATCTTTGTCATTGTTTACTGCTCTGTTTGGAAAGCTGCCCACCCTTTGGGATTCTAAGCGTAGACTCCAAAACATTTGTTCTTGTACTCTTTCTTTTTTTCTTTCCCTTGCAGGTAAAGTTAGTATTTTCAAAAGAACCTTCAAAGCCATTGGCTCCACGAATTCTACCCAACCCGCTGGCAGCTGCGGCAGCCGCTGCTGCTGTGGCCGTGAACTCCCCCTTCAGTCTCCGAACTGCCCCAGCAGCAACGCTGTTCCAGACGTCCGCACTCCCGCCCGCACTCCTGCGGCCCGCCCCGGGGCCCATTCGGACCGCCCACACTCCTGTGCTGTTTGCTCCTTACTGAATTCCACAGGGGAGTCCTTGTACTGCAATAATTTTTCAAAAAAAAACAGAAAAACAAAACAAACAAAAGAGAACTATGCAGTGTTTATTTATAGTTTAAAGTATATCTGAAGAGCCAGGACTTTTGATAGTGAATTGAAAAGATTATTTAA